CTTACGGCATCATTTTCCGAGGACTTACTGGTCCCCGTGAGGACCAAATCAGCGGTAGCCAGGCTGGCTTCTGCCCTGGTCTTGGTTGCATCGACATATTTACTTGTCGCCAAGTGTTAGAACAGAGACATACAGGCGACTATGGTGGATTTCCTTGACATGGAAGCTGCCTTCGACTCTGTTGACCGCGCCAGATGTGGTGCTGCGTATGCACAAAGGGCGTGCTCGCTAGACACTTTTTCATTATGCAGTCCCTTTACCGTGATTCCTGAGGCCGTGTAAGGATCAATGGTAAACTGGCTCCCGAATTCCTCACGAAAAGTGGAGTTTGCCAGGATTGCCCTATATCACATTTCCACTTCAATTTTTTGATCGGAATGATCATGAGTGACTCGGTTCATTCAGACTCTACCGGAGTGGAAGCTCTGCCAAGTGACCGACTGACAAACCTGGAGTATGCGGATGACATACTTCTCCGTGGGTCTGAAGCACTGGCTATGCCACTACTGCAGACTTGTGCGTAGCTCTGCACACTTCGGCATGTGCTTTAGACCTTCAAAGTGCAAGGTACTGTTGCAGAACTGGGCCGAGACACCACCGACTTTAGCCATTTCCGAACAGCCACTGGAAGTGGTGGATCGATTCGCTCCCTTGGTAGCTGTGTTATCTCCGGTTGTCACATCCCGGAAGTTTCTTCGCGTATCAGCAGGGTCCGTTCGGCATTTAAGAGGTTCAACCACCTAAGACGGAGGGATATAAGCCTGCCAAGAAAAGGTAAGGTATATAACGCTGCCATAAGGCCGGTATGTATCAGACTTAGCCAGTTCGCAGTGAAGACATTGGACGTTTGGCTGTGTTTGACCACCGGTGCTTGCGAAGTATTGCTCACGTCTGGAGGGAACACCGAGGGAGCGATGCTAAGGTCCGCTAGTTGGTTTTTGTCAAGAAGCCTTGTGATGTGTCACGCGAGTGTTTGTTGAATCCTAATCGTTTACGCTAGCTCGGCCATGTCTTCCGTATGCCCATTGACCGGCTTCCTCGCTGTGCATCCTACGTCATGGCCGCAGCATGTTGGGCCAAACCGCGAGGTGGTCAGTCCATGACGTGACACAGAAGCTTGAAGGGATTGGCTGAGAGAGCTGGTCAGGTTAGTTCATGCCGTCTTCCTGGATGGGCGCTTCGAGATGGTCCACACAAATGGCTGAAAACCTTTTCACATTAAGCGCAGTGAGTGGAGTTCCTGAATTCGGTTTCTTCCATCCGGTTGTTAATTTTCGTTTTCTTCTGATTAGTCGAATGCATTTCTTTCTTGTTTCCATTTATTCTACATCCTGGTTGCTTCTAACCGATGGCAGCCGTGGCAATTGGATCCACCGCAATTCAGTGCTCGGATCATAGTTGTTCAGCTGAAATGAACTGAACTCCGCCAGTCAGTGGATCTCCGCACTAGGTACATAAACACTCAAAAACCCTCTATTTGTGACATTGTTTTTGCCAAGTAACTCAACTTCGTAGTTGACATAGTTTATGGCTCTCACTTACGTGCTAGTGATCATGTTTGTCTACCCTTCAGCTGTGCTCTGTCCGGACGTCACCATCGCATCGTTGAGCCGTATCCGAACATATAACGTGCGAACTATCAAGAAATGAGAACCAAGGCTTCAAGTTTGCTTTGTGAAATCTCGATGCAGCCTAAGATAAAGTTAGGTTTTATCTCACGGAAGTGTCTGCTCCCCACACACCGCTTGAGAGTATAGATACCACTGGCAAGTATCTGCTCCAGAGGTGTTCTAGGTGCTGGAGGACTTACCGAGTCGCTCCATCAACTAGCACCTACGGCAAGTATCGCTAAACTAGAAATAGATGCAAACACTTGAGGAAAGCTCGGCTGTTGTAAGAAAATAAATTGGCTATGGAGTCTCGGAGAATTCCCAGTTCTTCGCTTATGTTAAGAGGCGCTGTGGTCCAAATTCGACAATTCCAACTTTGCTGCGGCCGGTGGAACTCATGCGTGTACGGACTCTGACAAGGCTAGTGTACTTGGTGAGCAGTATGCAGGGGTGTTTGTACATGAGGCTGCGTTGAACTTGTGGCCAGTCCCTGAGGGTTCTTATTCAGCTGAATTTACTGTGGTGAAAACGCAAGTCCTTAGGCTGATACAAGAACTGAACTCTTCTAAAGCAACTGTACCTGACTTGATTCACCCGAAGCTTCTGCATGAGTTGGCGGCGGAACAAAGTAGACCACTCACGACCGTGTTTCAGAAGTCATTTGACAACTTACATTACCCTTAAATGGAAGGAAGTTGGCATCTCTTATCTTCGAAAATGGTGACAGGTGGCTGTTTGCCAATTATAGGCCAGTCTGACTACCATCGTAGTCAAACTGTTTGTAAAGCTGGTGAGAGATACGTTGGAGGGGTAACTAAATAGCTTTGATCTAATCAGCAGTGTACAACACGGATTCCGGAAGGCATTTGCGTGTCTGAGGAATTTAATGGAAGCTCGTGAAATTTGGGCTGATGCAGTGAACAATGGCCGGGTAGTGGAGTTGCTTTGCGTGGATTTCTCGAAATCATTTGACATGGTACCCCACTTTAGGCTATCACAAAAACTGAGCTTTTTCTGTGTATCTGGACGCGCCTTTCACCATGTACCTGCGTCCTTGCAGGGGAGGGAGCAGTGTGTACACGTGAGTCGCAGCCCATCATTTAGGAAAGCGGTCCGTAGCGATGTCCCACCGAATTCGGTCCCTGGACCGATGTTGTTTTCCATCTATTCAAACGGTCCCTGGAGAGCTCAGGATATCATCGCTATTACCTGCTGCTGGCCTTAAGCTGTGGAACACTGTAAACGTCCCTGGGAGACTTCAGGCTACTTAATTTGCCCTGGATAAGTTCTGGGACTAGTGTATTTTGTGGCTGCTGCCCAGTAAGCATGCTGTGTTCCGTTATTCTTATAGGAGCAACTTTTCTATCTTTGAGGTACTTACTCGGTGGGGTCGAACTCCCCGTTGTCTTCAATAAAGTTGATCTAGGCGTCGCCCATCCATTGGCTTCGCATCCGAAGGACAAATGGAGGGGCGTAAGTAGAAAGTACCGAATTTTGTGGTTAATACGCCATCCTTTGAGTCTTAACTGCTGATATCTTTGTGAAGCTGTTCTCAACTGCGTCCGGGCTTGCTCGCCCTATTTCGTTCGGAACGAAATGGAACTCGAGAGGGTTTTGCGAACGAGTACGAGGGGTTACGGGGGCAAGTGTACTCCGAGCGTCTACTTAGCTTGCGTATGTATTCAATGCATTACTGACGGCTTCAAAGAGACCTGATCCTCACTTAACATTAATAACTGGGAAGGTTGAACCAGACTTGTCTTGAGTATTTGGCCCGGCTGGGTTGTCTTGTCGTCGTGGTTACCCCATTAAGCTACACAATCCGCGATATGACCGGAGCGGAAAGGAAACCTGATTATCGCGTAGAGTTATCGAATGCAGGAACTCGCTTCCACAAAAGGTAGTCAGTGAACCTACGGTTAAGGGTTTTGAGCGCCCGTTAGAAGCACATGAGTAGCAACACAAAACTTTTCCCTTCTCCTGACCATATCAGTCTTCCTACTCTGACTTGCTATTATGTCTTCACTCGCTAGTATGATTCTCCATTCGAAAGACCGCCACTACCTTAGATTTTCTTCAGATAACTCTCTTACTTCACGTGACCGGAGTAGGGGGACTGCTAATGCAGTAATTGGTTGACCAGGCTGCGGTCTGGATTTCCCGTTTTAGAATCATCAAGATTTCGGAGCGTCTCATCATTTCCCGGTTCGACGGTCCGCTCCATGAGATACACTCACGGAATTTTCCCATCGTTACCGATCCACCTGAACCTCAGTCGATTTCCACCAAGTAAGCAGGGGGGGCTGCCTCCACCACTCCACGGAAATTTATAACAGTTAATTCCTTTCAGTAGTTTAAACGACGAAATGAGAAGACGAATATTGGCAGATGCTAGCATTTCGTATTATCTCGTCAGTACCAAATCGCCTTTTGCGATTTGTCGAGGCCGTCGCAATAAGCCGAATTAAGCCAGTTTTATGTGTCCAAAAGCAATTAGTTGTCAACGTGCGGTTGCCGTAGTCCTAACGCCAACAACAAGGGCTACAAACATAAATTTGATGGTCAGGATTTTGTCCTAGGAGACGCATAAAAAGATTTCCCAGTTATTGTATTGGTACTTACGAGATAATACGAAATGCTAGCATCTGCCAATATTAGTCTCCTCATTTTGTTGTTAAAATCTTCGGAAAGTGTAAAAATAGGTCAAAACAAGAGCCAGTGCCAATTTATCCGGGTTGATATCTGCCGCACATTAGAGCAATATCGTCGGGACAAACTAAGTCGTGGTGCATATAAATTTTTCGTTTTTGCACTTCACTTTTAATCTATATTGTAGTTGTTTTATCTGACCGCTGTTTCGATATACTCTTCTCGGCCTACCAACCGCGCGTACCGGTTTTCTTCCGCGGCGCGCTGAGCTTGTTTTGTCAGTGCCTGGGAAATCTGATCTGCGCCGAAGCAACACTCTGGGGATGCGAATTCTGTGAAATTAGTCGTTGACATCTGCAGGTCAGCGTTAACCTTTTTTCTCTCACATCGATTCCTTCTGGTGCGGTAGGGTAGTATTTATATCCACTACAGAGAAGTCGATCACCTACAACGAAGTTCACACAGTCGAATTCGAGTACGAAGGAAGCAGTTGTGCACAGGAAGCTAACAAAAAGCGGAGAGAAACAGACTGCAATATTTGGTGATTCGACGGGAATACGACAACCTGACGGCAAATCTCTGAGCTATTTAACGGGGAAGTACGTACTCGAAATGATAGCAGTAGATAGTAGAAAATAGGAACCAAAAAAGCAGTAACAAAAAACAGGCCTAATGCACACGAAGATAACGCAACGAAGAACGGGCATTAAGTGGTAGTACGTAGAGGTTGGCGATACCTACCTCGAGAAACTGGGCAACGACTTTAAATTCAGGAACAGGTTCGCGCTTCCTGGCTGCTTCTGACCGGCACTGGGCTATCTGGGTAAAAAGATACTGTACAGCTCGAGGAATAATTCCAGCCTCAAAGTTTCCGACGCCTGGATCTACCCCTGTGCCCATGGTGTATGTTTTTCCAGATCCAGTCTACGCAAATTAGGAACAAAATACGACTTACCTGGCCGTAAGCCAAGATGGTAGCGTTATATCCGCTGAGGCAACTGAACAGAATAAAAGCAAGCTAATAAACCTACCCATCAATCAGTGGCCTTGCGAGAAGCTGGAAAACTTGTTCCTGAACGGAGTTCATATTGAATACGTAATCAAAGGTAAAAGAATAATCCTTTCCGAGAGTGATCTGAGGAGCATCATGGTTCACGATGGTACAAATGTGGCTCATGGCGAGCTTCTCTTTGGCACTTTGTGGCCTAATTCTAAGTCGAATTTATGTATAGGGAAAAATATAAAAACCTGACGGCAACACTAACGGTCGTGGAATCATTTTCCACAGTTTCGTTAACAAATGCCATTAAAGGAATATATTAGGGATGCTAAAGTAAAAACATCTTTTGGATAAAAAGAAATTAAATGTAAAAATACCAATAGGAAACTGGTGCCAATCGTCGGTCTATTGTACTCACAGAGAACGGAAACGAAAATTGCGGTTACGTTATACTAAACGTCAAGCCGAATAGCAGAATAAACATGATTTCAAAAATGTTCCCAGCGCACTTGAAGATAAAATAATATTAATGATGTAATCAGCAATTTGCTGCGCCATGGATTTATCGAATTACTTAGGTTTAAAATTTTCTTATTGTGTTCACTGAGTGTATTGGGTTATAGAAAGCTTGAAAGATCTCATGTAAGCTCAGTAGCTACTCGCCCCCTACGGAGATGTTGTGAGCCCTTGGCACACAAAGCTGCACAACGGACCGCTTTGTGCGCAACATGATCCATGCCTAAAACTCGCAAGTAAAATTCCTGTTTCACTGATGACTTTGCTTGTTTCGAATATAAGGTCTGTTACTGTTTTCGGCAGCATATTCCACTATTGTCTGTCATCGAGCATCAAAATGCTTTTAGGTTTACATGCAGACGAACACACACAACTTTCATGTTGCCAGCCACTTACACAGCAGAAACTTACGTTAATGCAACTCTTCAACGAATGCAACGGCGCACATTTCTCGTTAAAGGACTCTTTTCCCTTAGTTATACACATACCGAAACATGTCTGGAAAAGCAAACAAGACAATGTTTTATTTTTATATAAGTTTCTACCCTGCAAATTTCAAACTTACACTTCGAACATGTGCTCAAGGAATTCTGTGTGCCAAAATGCTGTTATGCAAAGCTTATTCGTGTACTGTTAAAATACTAACTTTAACGCTTCTTTTTTAATGGTAATTTTTCGTAATTTTGTAACCTGTCTACTGTAATTTCTCAAAACAGTAATCTTTGTTTTTAGTAGATTATTGGACAATGAATTGCCTACATGCTTATAGATCCCCTAGAATCTGTACAGCCCATGTATCAAACACTTAACCAGCAAGCCATACTTAGGCACGTCGTACAAGTATATCTGGCACGCGCTAGACTTTAGTCAAAGCTATTGCCACCGTCCTAGTATTACTATTGAGCGGTTGTCCGCATATTTTAGCGGCTACGTAAATTAGAAAAGGCTGTTCACATCCATTTATTATGCTTGGCAGATGATCACTGATGCCCTCCTGTTTTATTTCAAGTTCTGGTGGGACTGGAACAATAGCAGTATCCCGTTTGTGTTCCATCTTGAGTGGACAATTGAGCCAGAAATTGATGAAGTGCTCAGAGTTAGTAATGGATCTAAATGGAACGTCCGTATTGCACCCTGGTCAACCAGTTAATGCCCACGTTTCCTGCCCTTGCAGTCCCAGCTGTGGCAGGCACGTGAAGTAAGCAAGGGCTAGGAACAGAGGGCGAAAGTGCGGCATAAGGAAGGGTACTTAAAAGAAGGAAATACTACCAAGGCGTGAAGCATGTAGAGAAAAGAAACTCAAGTATGAAATGCGAGTTAATCAGGAAAAGCGGGAGCTTTCGTGTTTCCAACCAAGATCGTCAACTTGCCGCTCATACCCCTTAACCGTAGGTTCCCTGATAACACTTTTCGAAGCGTGTTCCAGCGCTCGATGACGGCGTGACAGCCGGAGTTCCGCCGTAATCCGATCGCGCCGCGGTTTGTCCAGCTTCGAGGTATGTCCGCGTAGAACAGCCAATCTAGCGGGACTGAATAGCCAAGATAAATCAAAACCAACCTTCCCAGTTACGATACGTTAGGTTAGGATTAGCTCTAGTCTAAGCCTTCGGTCGTGCATTGAATGCATTTCTAAACTAAGTAGACGCTAGGGGTACCTCCGTCCCCGTAATCCCTCAACTAATTTGGTACCCACCCGCAAAGCCCTCTCTAGCTCCGTGCTGTCCCGGATGAAGCAGAACGGACAAGCCCGGACGCTGTATTCCAGAGGAGGCCGAACGAAAGCCGAGCACAGTCTCGTAAAGATGCCGCCAGTCAAGACTTCGAACGAAAGTCGTATTAAGCATAACATGCCGTAACCTCTGCTTGCAACCTTCTTACGGTTGTCGCCGGAGTGTGTAGTCGAAAAGTGTACGACCCCTAGATCAACCTGGCCAGATACACGGGGGAGTTCGACTCCACCGACAAAATACTTCGCAGGGGGAGATCCTACTTCAAGTCGAAGAACGGAACACTTTGCTTGGTTAATGGGCAGTAAACATAAAGTGGACTAATGTCAAAGCTTATTCAATGCTCGCTAAATAGCTTCGGATCCCCCGGGACCTCGGCAGTTTTCAACCGCTTCAGTTCATCAGCAAATAGCAGCGATGGTGCCTTAAACTCCGCGGGTAGGTCATTCAAATTGGTAGAGCAAAGCAGCGGTCCAAGTCCCGAGCTCTGCGGTACGCCGCTGTTGTGAGATTGCCTAAACGCTAGACCACGGCTAACCCGTACACACTTTCTCTCTCTCTCATCAACGAAGGCAGTCACCCAATGTGGGGCGCATCCAGGTACCCCATGGGATGTCTACATTTGCGCAAGACTCAAATGGCATCCGTTGCCAAATGCTATCGGAAAGCCGACTAATAGCACTCCGGTGCGTGGCCGTTATCCACTGCATCCGCCCAAATTTCGCGAACCCACAGTAGTTTCATCAGACACGAAAATCACTTCCGGAATTCGTGTTGGACATTGCTAAGTAAGTTAAATCTACTCAGGTGGCTCTCCAATGGATCTCTTACCAGTTCCTCGAAAACTTCGACTACTACACTTGTCAGACTAACCGGCCTGTAATTTGCAGGCAGACTCCTGTCCCTATCTTAGAAGATAGGACAGGCTCCAGCTTCCTACCATTCGGAAGGTAATGCACAGCTTTCAAGCGATTTCTGAACCACCATAGTACATTTCTGTGTTTATTATGTAGCACTTATCATGTATGTTGCATTATACTGCGTGCTATAATGATGTTGGTTTTGCCGTCTTTTAAGCAATTGTTATGCTTGTATGTTACATATATTATTGGATGGTGTTCACGTTTTTCGTTGAAAGGTCTAACACTATGTGCTGACGTCTTGTAATGATCGATAGTAATCGTTTTCCTTTTTATTCCGTTTGTTACAGATACTTGCGTGCAATGGCCAAGAGCAAAGTTGCTTCCGACAGCGGAGCCTTGCAAACGCACTGGCAGGTTGAATACGCTTACTTAGGCTAACGGTAAGCCTGTGTTTCCAATATGCGGACATAATGTGACTGTGTCGAAAGAATAAATAAATAAATAAATGGTATATTCTCTGTAAAACGAGACACACCTCTAAGGGCATGATCAAATATGCATACAAGCATAGCTTCATTGGAATATTAAAACATTTCGTATCAATAAAAGGAAGAAACGAAAAGATGTAGTCCATATGAGCGAGCATATTGACAGGTAATAGTCAGATCAAGGACCATGATGGCGCTGTGGCGCGCAAAAGCTTTTGCGTCAAGAACCAAGTGGGGGGTAAATTTGCCATGTAGTGATCCATGAGCACAGGAGCCCAAACACGGTTTAGTGCAATCAATGACCATTACGAAGCCGGGATGATCTGTACTGCACTAAAGCATTCATCATAGCAGAATTAGTTGCACAGGTTGGATGTAGGAGGCTGAGGACTGCGTCAGTGTGAAATGTATAGCTGTGACTTTATTTTGTGGCGAGTCACATCCGCCACGTTGCAGTGTTGTTAAGCGGACATTTGTGGCTTTTTATAGGGAGAACGCTTGCCAGGCGAAAACCCACCACGTCCTGGAACACTGTCGTAGCTTCCGTTGAACTGTAGTGCTAGTCGGCTATGCATCGTATAGACCGATTTTGCACTCTATTATTCGCAGTCGGTTGAAAGCCAAAATTCTTCCTTCGTTGGCCGAATGGCTTAGTAATGATCCGGCAGTAGTCGTTGAAGCCGGTCAATGATGTAAAAGAGTCGCAGAGCTGAATGATATTGATGCAGGTGAGTAAACACATTGTTAATAGAGGCCGGCTTTTTCTATTATATTGTCCGGCTCGCAACGCGTGACCAACTATCCATACTGGACTTGTCATAGGGACGGTGAGTGCAGTTGTTTCTTGTGTCTGAATATGTCCATAACAGGAAGAAATGCTATTCTCCGCAAAGTGGACTAGTAATTCCTTCAAATGTAAGTGTAAGTGTCTCCATGGCCAAGTGAGAACTCCATGAAAGATCATCGGAAAAGCCGCTTATACGCGCGCAATGCTGTCCGTGAAATGACATCAGAAATGCTCCAGGTGACTGGAGAATCGGAATGTTTGAGGCAGTGAAGATAATCACGCCAGAATTGTCTGTCTTCGATTGTGGAACAGTGGATCCATGTAAATACATTATTCCATGTGAGTAAATTGTTCTACTGTGAGTACGAGGCGAGCTAAACCCAATTGTTTAGACCCCGTGGTGGTAGCTTCTCCAGAATGGCGGAAAGAGCCCCATTTGGAACGATATGTGGGTTCTTCATCTCCCGGAGAAAAGATCAAGCATGTAAACCAGCTGGTTATTGAGGGTGGGTCGACCAGTCGACCAGTCTGTGACGGCTCTATGGGACTAAACATCAAGTCAAGGTTTGATAACGGAATGCAGACGGGAAGCTACAGTAGGTAGAAGAATGGAAGAGCAATATGTCATCCGCGCAGGTATACAGCACCAACACAAAACCACACACTGAAGCTGCTGTAAATGGCAGTTTAATTGTGACAGAGATCGCTAAAATTAAAAGAACAAAATTAATAAATATTTTTCTCGACTTCGTGAGGCAGGCCCTTACAGCTATGATCATGGCAATAATACAGGAAGTGAGTAAGGAATGTGCACTAGTATAATGGGCTTTTCATCTATGCGGATCCATAAATGTAGGCTTGTCGTTAGTGTGTAGCTTGTGTTGCCGTTCCTTTGAATGTGTTTGACTGCGTCGCCGGTGTCGGAAGAAAGGTTCGTCATATGTGGATTTAATAAGCTTCTCAGCCCAAGCTTGTGCACTGACTGTATTTAGTGGCGGGTTACCTCCGCCATATTACAGTGTCGTTGA